TCGCATAACTAGCAACATCGTGTGATTTGTGTTTGCGCTGATTCAGTCATACAGCTGCCCACTCAGGGTCAAGCAGGGGGTGTGGCAGACGATCGCTGGTTACGACCCACCCCCTGATTGCTGTCTTAGTAAGACCCTCCCTGAATTATATATCTAAGATAGCATTACCTGAAGGCTCTGTCAAACATAATGGGCAACGTATCCATAATGAGCATGTCAATTAACCCCGCTAGACAAAGTTTGAGCGCTAAGCACCACTCCTTCTTTGTCCATCTCAGAAATCCCGCTTCAAAAGACCTCCAAACTGTGGAATTAGAAGCCAACCAAAATCTCATTTTTCTCATTTTTCGCTTTTAATAGCTGTGCTTTCACCAAATGTTATTCAGAGCTAAGAAGACGAATAAGGCTCCAAACATTCCTATGGAATCTACGAGGTCTAGGCTATCGATTCGTATAAATAATGTTCGCTAAAAATGTTTTTTTGATATAGTTAATGGAGTGCGGTACCCCCCCCCCCCCTTAAAAGCTGAGACAGCCGCAGCTTTCAAGGGGGGGGGGTGCCGCACCCCATTAACTATATCAAAAATCAGCCTTGAGTGCAAAAACGGATAGCTAATTCACCTTTGAAACAAAGTTAATCATGTTGGAAAATGGCCATTTCACTTAGGTGGCCTGGTATCTTGAATCTTTAATATTTTAACTATATCAAAAACATTTTTAGCAAAATTATTTATACGAATCGATAGCCTAGACCTCGTAGATTCCATAGGACTGTTTGGAGCCTTACTCGTCTTCTTAGCTCTGAATAATATTTGGTGAAAGCACAGCTATTAAAAGCGAAAAATGGGAAAAATGAGATTTTGGTTGGCTTCTAATTCCACAGTTTGGAGGTCTTTGATGCGGGATTTCTGAGATGGACAAAGAAGGAGTAGTGCTTTGTCTTGAGTGCAAAAACGGATAGCTGATTCACCTTTGAAACAAAGTTAATCATGCTGGAAAATGACCATTTCACTTAGGTAGCTTAGTGTCTTGAATCTCCAGAATTCGCTACTTCGTCTACAGGGTTTAATTGACATGCTAATTATGGATATGATACAAATATCACGTATCACTATTGTCAGATTACCCAACTACAACCCCTTCCCCTTTGACTCCTCAATACGACCCCCCAGGTGTGGCGTGCCACACCCCACGCTTGACCCTGTGCCCACTTCAGAAAATGAAAAAACTTCGGAATTTTTGAGATATCTGCAGCCGCTCTAAATCATCATAGCAAGTCTATTCTATGAATCTGCCACAGTATGGAAAACTGAAAATCACTAATGCGTCTGATGGATCTTCAAAAAAAAATGGTGCAGCTGTAGTATCTGGATTGTTGAAGCACTACACTCATATCCACAAGTAATTAGTATGGCTAACCTCAAAAGAAAGAATGAAGAGCTAATACATTACTGCTCGCAATTTCCCTACATCATTTCTGTCAACGTTGAACGTCGCGCACCTTCGCAGCTTATCCAGATTTTATGTGATATGTGCGACTGCACAGTATGGCATTGTTACGCTGCAAAATAAAGATTCTTTGAAAAGAAGTCTGGAAAGTTAGGCTGCATCAGACTAGCTGTGTGCAGAAGCTGTGCCAACACCATAGCAGCGTCGTGCCGAAAAATCCTCAGCATCATGCTGATCGATCGCACAACTTTAACAACGCTGGCATGGATAACAGCGTATAAAGGAAGTGGGTCGGCAGAATGAGACCCGTGGCAAAACATTGCCATAGGGTAGGAGCCCCCATAATGGAACCTATGGGCCAAAGTTCGGATTTTCTCTGCCACTTCTAACCCCCGAAATTTCAAAGCGAAAGCAGCGCTCATCTCCTGTCCTCTCCGAACCCCCCCCCCCCCCACCCCATGGACGAGTGAACGCGAAGCCCGTCATGGCGAAGACGCAGAGTCGGTTGCGGGACCTCATGCTTATAGCATTGCGGCTAGCGCTCTAACCGCGGAAGTCACTCGTCCATGGGGTGGGCGGGTTTGGAGAGCATAGGAGATGAGCGCTGCTTTCGCTTTCAAATTTCGGGGTTAGAAGTGGCAGAGAAAGATCGGACTTTGGCCGATAAGTTCCATATGGGAGCTCCTACACTGTGACATTGTTTTGCCACGGGTCTTATTCTGCCGACCCACTGTCTTCAAAGACCCTATATATTAGGTCGGCACGAAAGTTCGTTCGCAATATTTTCAAAAAATCGTAACTTCTGATTTTTTATCATAGTGCTTCCAAGATTGTCCCGCAGGCTTGCAGGCACTTTAACAGCGGGAGCTATCAGCCTACCAACTGGTAAGGGCTAAAGGTGAACGAAGTAGGTCCACATTGAGAAATGCGAGCTTTGATTATGACATACTTTACGTGATAGCCGTACGCGATTTGCCAGTTACGAGGGAGTACAAGGAGGTAAGTGGGGGTGCTGATTATGGATAAAAATTTACTTCATCGATTTTGTCGATTTTTGGAAAATCTTGAGCTAGGAGTTGGTATAGGAGATACGAGAGTGCTGATTGTGAATGGATCGGCTTCAGCCAGATATGCAAATTCAAGATATGGTTGCTCTGGTTATTCGATAAATCGTTCGAATATTTATTCGAGATTCGACCTCCAATGTTTGAATATATTCGATATTCATTCATTCGATATTTTTGATTTTCTATATTTATTCGAAATTGATTCATTCGAAAATTTGCAAACCTCGAATTTATTCGATATTCGTTTATTCGACATTTTTCATTTTCGGATCTATTCGATATTCATTTATTCGATGAAAAATTTCGAATTTATCCAAGTATATTTGCAAGGGCTTGAGCCCACGCAGAGCGGGACGGAAAAACAAGTTTTACATGTCTAGTCTTACCTTCAACATATTTACCCAATCGGAAGATTTCAAAAGGGCAGCAATCCACATCAATCTGCTCCGGCACACGTGCGACATTTTCTTCCAACTGTTGATATCTTATAAGATGGTCTGTTAATAAAAGATTGAGTTCAGCTAGAGCGATGCTTCTTTCTCTTTTTCAGTCTCTGGGTCCTTTGGCATCTGTTTTTCAGAGTTTTAGCTAGCCTTTCTATGAGGGATCAGTATTTCTATCAATGATAGATTTGATAGTTTCACCCGCAGAAAGGTTATCAGAATTTATCGACTTGACATCAGGAGCATCAACAGTAGAGTTTTCATGAGAAACACTGGTTGATTTCTTTTTCTTGAGTGCCTTTAAGGCTCTGAACAGAGAAAGTGATACAAGCTTGAAACGGCCATTGTAAATGTGATATTCAAGACCCAAAAAGCTACCTTGAAAACGGTACTTTTAGATGCACAAGAAACAGATTAGGTTAATGAAAGGTATTTGAAAAAAACTGTACCTTATGAGTATGCATAGGCAAGTTTAGACAAGAATTAATGAGAAAGAACTTGATGAGTTTGATGTGACGTTGTAAAGCCGCATCCGCATCCCAATCAGCAAGAATAAATGCCAGAAATGGCTTGCTAGATGTGAAATCGACGTAGCAAAGAAGAGCTCACGATAGAGCAACCGCTCAGGATCACAGTAGATGTGAGAATGGCTATGAACATATGCTTTGACATTTTGACTAGCCAATCCTCTACATAAGATTTACGCGGAATAAACCCGACTAAAACTGGCTAGCATCCCTAAACATCCAAGTGTTTCTATCTTACGGATTATGACTGAGTGATTTCGCAAACAAGCTAATAATAAAAATTCATTACTGCTCTGCGCATCCTTGGAGCTTCAGGCAGCAGAATCAGTTTGATCCAACGTTGAACACCGGTGCATCGATGAACCTTGCCAGACAGATTGAGTATTCTAACGGCTATCCCGCAAAAGGTGCACCAATGCATACCCCTGTAGGCAAGAAAGCAGACCGAACGAAATGAAGACAGCAAAATACCGTTTTGTCTTCGTACATGAGGTTTCAGCAGAGCTATCAGGAAATCTTCGTTTCAAGTCGGCTTCGATGATTCCGTCAGAGTTATAGATATCCCTACTCATCTCAAAAACCAACTAAGCCGCAATCGAGCACATGACAGATGTGCACGACCGCCGATTTGAGATCTGGGAAACCAGGCGATTGCATGGTATTAACACGTTGACGACCGTGTGCATCCGCGCGTACGCACGCCCTGACCACCTAGTAGCACTTTCGTGCATCAATTTATCATGTGTAAACGAAGAGTTCTCAGGTAACTTCTACTGCATTGATAGCACTGGTGGCCTGGTTGTCATATAGAAACACGGCATTGCGGAAGCTGTTAAACAGTCCAAACCGCAGCCGTAGATCATCAGTCCATTTTGAGGTGGTCAAAAATGGCACGGTCGTCAACGTGTTAAAAGTGGTATATTTCATAGCCTGTCAAAAATGCGGTGATCAATACATAAGAGAAATTGGCAGACCCTTCTGCACGAGAATCAAAGGAGATTTTGATGTCTTAAAAATCCAAAATATCTACACCTTTGAGTGCACATCGAAAGTATGTCACGAGAACCAGTACTTTCAAGTCACTGTTACGATCTTGTTGCACGAATCCGAGTTAATAGCCCGCAAAACATTGAAGGCTAAACCACCAAAGATGAACTGCAAAGATGAAGGCATTGCCATAAACAACGAAGTGTTCTTTTAACAAACACTTTGTGGATTCTAATATCTATAAGAGATCTTCTATAAGCATATAAACATAGCGCAGCTGAGCGCAGTACTGGTTGTTCGATCTGTCTGTTGTTTATCCCAATTTGACAAGTCTAAACAGGCTTTCAACATCTATTCTACCACTCCATCACATAGCTAAACTGAATCTATTACCAAACAGAGCGTTTGAGCGGGTAGTTCTCAAAGTCTCGATCTTTTAAGAAGCCTTAATAACGCCGAAACGTTGGCTTGTCGCGTAATAAAGTCTTAAAAACCTTCGACATCTTAAAGACTGTATAACAATTTGGATCACAATGCCGTTTATCGACAATCGAGCACGAGAGACATCGAACATCTTACTACAGTCCTAGTCCCGTGGCAATTTTTATCACTCTACGAGTTTGGTCGAGAGCTTCCGGAAGTTTCTTGAACTGATTTACCATACGTTCTCCAACTGCTTTTCCAACTTTTCCGATAACATTTCCAATTTTTCCGATAACGTTGCCTTCAGCTACGTCAACAGCAGAGAGAATCTGTAAGCATTAAATTAATGTACAGTCAGTAAGTCTAAGAAGTAACATGGCAAACTAAGCCATGTCTTGCTTGAACCTACCACTAAGATGGTAAGTAACAAGAAGGTAAGTTTGAAATTTCTCATTCTTGTCGAACTGACGTAAAGGCTCTGAAAGAAATTATTCTGAGAGAGTAAGCGGTACATAGATCGGTTGATAAAACGACGAACAAAACGACGAACTTCTTTGAATAGGGTGGGCAACTATGTCGCCGGAATTGGGAGGTCCCGCCGAACATCTCCGACAAATACACCTTTTGATGCATGCACAGGCTGTATCTGCTAAATCGTCTGCGCGCACAACTCTATCATCAGCTATTTCGCTTGTTCAACTGTAAATTCATCAGTTGTTTCTCCAAAACAAGTAATATCGGTAATTGCCTTTTCAAAGAAGAAGCAAACAAAGCTTGCGTTTGATCATGTTCTACCCAAAAGTTCTCGGTTGGTAATATCTTCCCTTGACTCTGCAAAGCTATAGACCATTAATTTGTTTGTCTTTGAGCCACAGCAGACCTTAGCAAATTCTGGTCAATTTTGCCTGGACATGCTTATGCAAGAAAGGAAAGATTGACAAAAAAAGGGGATGATCAGATAGTATTAAAGGTTGAGGATTTTCTAATGTTGTCATAATTTTTCAATCGGTTCCTCATTCAAAAGAGCTGCTTGGAAGCAGTACACAAAAGTTTTGTCTTGATCCAAACCTGCCTTCCTTATTAGCGACTAGCTGGCTTACCCGGCTCCGCCGTATGTTCCGAACAGAAAATTCCATTTCTTAACCGATCCGGACCAAACTTAGCACACATACACCTTGGGCCCCGGCGGGTGTCACAGTCCACTTTTCGTTATCGATCGATGTCGATATCGATTTTTTGCAAAATTTGAGCTAGGGGGCTGGAATTTGGCAGAGGGGTGTAATCGAGCATGCTGATCACCCCCACGGGGGTGATCAGCATGCTGTGCCCCCCCCCCCTGTGCCAACTCCCAGCCCCGTAGCTCAAATTTTGCAAAAAATCGATAAAATCGATATCGATCGATGACGAAAAGTAGCCTATGACACCCTCCGGGGACCGAACTGTATGTGTGCTAAGTTTGGTCCCGATCGGTTCAGAAATGGAATTTTTTATTCGGAACATACGTACAGACAGACATACAGACAGACATACAGACAGACAAACAGACATTCAGCTTTATATATAAGATGCCGGACTATGGAAAAATTCTAAGCTTCCAAAGGTCCAAGTTTGGCAAACATTTAGCGCCACATCCTCAAAAACTAATTGTTCAAAAACACGTTGTAAGTCTCCGGTGAATGTGAGCATCCCTTGAAATCAGTACACTCAATATCTTGCTAATCATGCACTTCCAAGTTGGATGTTAAAGCTCATTATGCATTGGAAATTTAGTGATTTACATATTTAATCGCATTCTGTGTCACTGGAGCTCTAATGCATGATGTGCTATAAGATCCAACTTGGGATTGCAAGACTAGCAAGATATTTAGTGTGCTAATTTCAAGGGATGCTTACATGTACCAACGAGGATAAGTGACTTTAAACAACTAGTTCTTGAGGATGTGGCGCTCAATGTTCGCCAAATTTGAAGTTGAACGCTCATAAGTTTTTTCCAGCGAACAGCATCGCAGACAAAGAAGGTGAAATTGAAATCAGGCCATCAAGGCGCATAAAATGCTATGTGGTTCAGTCCGAAGGGTCACTTCACGTTGGGATCGTTCCTTTGTTAAACCTATTGTACGAATCTTCATTGATGTACTAGGTTGATGCATAATACCTGCTCCAAAATAGGCACAGACGGCAATAACCCGGAATAATCCTATATGTCAAATAGATTTCGATATATCATTAGATGGCGCAAACCTAGCTCCACAAGATATTGCTTGAAGTTTTGCAACAGCTTTGATCCAAGCGAAGTTTTGAGCCGAAGACTAGAAAAACCATGGGTCCGAGGACCTTAAGGCTGCGTTCATACTGATTCCCATGTTCTGGAACTGTTCCCGCACAGTTCTCGCACTGTGCTGAAACTGTGCGGGAACTGTGCGGGAACTGTGCGGGAACAGTTCCAGAACTGTGCTGCATGCGCTGCAGCCGCCCCGCACCGTTTTGAACGGCGGGAGTTGGAGAATTTTGACCGTTCTTAACGGTTTTTCTTCCAGATTTCGCTCATTTTGGCCTTAATCCTCCACCCCGCTTCCCTTTTTGATCAGCAGCACTGCGAACTCGAAGCGGGGATGAAGAATGAGCGCTTTTCTGCGCCGTGTATTCGGAAAGATGGGCTATCGTGCGATTGTTCATTCTGTCTTCTTGTTCTTTGCTCAAAACTACTTCATTTGTTCCAGGAAGCGGCTGCCCAGTTTCCATAGCCATCTGCCACAAATTAGGGAGTAGGAGAAATCCTGAAATTGCATGAGTTGGGACTTGTCTCTTGTTTTTCATGATTTTGGGCGTTCTTAGCCTTGTTCGTTTTTCCATGTCGTTGCTTCTCCGTTCTTTCTTCTACCCCGCTTCTCCTAGTGATGAGAAAAGCTGTGAATTTGAAGCGGGATTGAGGATTGAACGCTGTTCTGCTCCATGTATCCGGGAATATGGGCCTTCGTGCGCTCGTCCATTCTCTCATCGCTATTTTTGTTCAGACCTACTTCATGTGTTTTAGAGACTTGTCTATTTCAATTTTAAGACAATGCGAGACTACGCAGCGACTTGTTAGTACACATGAAGTAGGTCTGAACAAAAATAGCGATGAGAGAATGGACAAGCGCACGAAGGCCCATATTCCCGGATACATGGAGCAGAACAGCGTTCAATCCTCAATCCCGCTTCAAATTCACAGCTTTTCTCATCACTAGGAGAAGCGGGGTAGAAGAAAGAACGGAGAAGCAACGACATGGAAAAACGATCAAGGCTAAGAACGCCCAAAATCATGAAAAACAAGAGACAAGTCCCAACTCATGCAATTTCAGGATTTCTCCTACTCCCTAATTTGTGGCAGATGGCTATGGAAACTGGGCAGCCGCTTCCTGGAACAAATGAAGTAGTTTTGAGCAAAGAACAAGAAGACAGAATGAACAATCGCACGATAGCCCATCTTTCCGAATACACGGCGCAGAAAAGCGCTCATTCTTCATCCCCGCTTCGAGTTCGCAGTGCTGCTGATCAAAAAGGGAAGCGGGGTGGAGGATTAAGGCCAAAATGAGCGAAATCTGGAAGAAAAACCGTTGAGAACGGTCAAAATTCTCCAACTCCCGCCGTTCAAAACGGTGCGGGGCGGCTGCAGCGCATGCAGCACAGTTCTGGAACTGTTCCCACACAGTTCCCGCACAGTTCCAGCACAGTTTCAGCACAGTGCGAGAACTGTGCGGGAACAGTTCCAGAACATGGGAATCAGTATGAACGCAGCCTAAGAGAAATTAGAACAAATTTGTAATTCCGCTAAAAAAAACTTCTAGAAAAATTCTTTCTTGCTCACGTAGACATTCCACGTAAGACATCTATGCGATTGCTGTATTTTTTTCTCAGCTGGACTATGAGCGAAGTTTTCCATGTTTTTGCCAAATTAGTGTTTAGATGTTCTAGCACTAGCAGTCGTATATTACATGCCGTTATTAGTGAAACTTCACATTTTCAGCCTTCTCAAGCTTCTAGTTCATGAGAGATCACAAATCTAGCTCTCCTCATCCAAATTGTTCTTGCCTAGTTGCTAAAAATTCGAAATTTCTCGTAAACCAGCTGCTGTAAAGAGCTGAAAATTCACACTCACGTTTAAGGCCCTATAGTATACAACTGTCAAAGCTAGAACATCTCAGCGTTGTTTTGAAAAAAACATGAAAAACTTCGTTTTCCCATTTCTAGCTGAGAGAAAAATACAGCAACTGCATGTAGAGTTGTCTTATAAGAATTGAAATGACTTCCAATTTTTTCTTGGCTTTTTGGCGCGCTTGATCTTTTTCGTTTTTAACCTCGATCTTTGCTCGGATCAAAGCTACTGTAGAACGTTAAGCACTGTCTTGTAGATTTGCTCTATCCAATGATACAGGGTGTCCCAAAAGTATGTATACACTGTTTGATCGTTAATATCTCTATTCCCAAAAAGTCTTTTGCCTTGCTTCAGGTACCGTTTCGTAGAGCTGGTTTCAACTTAAATTTGTAGTATAGAACGAACCACCCGTCTCTCTTCATTACTGTAGGATTACGGTAAATTTCAGGGAGGGTTTTGAGCCATAAAAGGCCATATTTTGCCTCAAAAAGGAAACAAAACAATCTGAAAACTTTTACACTAGGCTAAATAGAGCTGCTGATTCTAATTGTAAAGTCCTTAATTTATTATGATGCTTCATTGAAGGGTTATGCCAGGTAAGCAGTAGCAGCCATTTTTCCAATGTTCCTAAAGGGTGCGGTTACACTGTTTAGAAAGCTTCGCAATTTTATGAAAAGCTGAGTATTGAACTCAGCGTCCATGAAAACCCTATCACATCTTTTTAAAAAAATTTGAAACGGCAGCTTTTTCGACATTGACACCATACGTTTCAAGTTTCTACCGTAGTCCTACAGTAATGAAGAACCGTCGCTGATTCTCTCTATACCGTAACTCTAAGTTGAAGCCAGCTCTACAATACGGTACTTGAAGCAAGCCAAAAAACTTCTTGGGAAGAGAGATGTTAGCGATCAAACAGTGTATGCATACTTTTGGGACACCCTGTATATCGAAATCCATTTGGGATATAGGATTATTTCGGATTATTGCGGTCTGCACCTATTTTGGTGCAGGAATTATGCATCAACTTGATAGAATAACGGCAGGGACTTCAAGAAGTCTAGGATATTGACAACCATATTTTGCCTCGGAAAATAGGCGAAACAAGTTAAAAGCTTTTACACTAGATTAATCAAAGTCGCAGACTTTAGATATTGATTACATCTTACTGTAATGCTCGATTAATGAGTAGTATTTTCCCGTAATAACTGTCTTTCCAATTCAGAATGTAATCGTACCTTAACACTTGAAAAGCTCGCAAAAAATTTGTAGTAAAATCAGCAGGAGTGATAACTCTGCTACGCAATTTTCCACAATTTTAGGGGAATTTTGGCAGACGGTTTTTTTCATAGTAATTCTATTCTATTCTGTCCAAAAGTACCATTTTCAAAAATTGGGGTGTTGTTTTCCTAGCAGACTTAAGGTGCCATTCGATAAAGCGAAGCAAGCACATAGAGCCCAAAAATGTATTTAGTGGATATTTTGAGGCTCAAAATTGAGAAACAAAGGTGCTGTGAGAATGGCAAAATGTCCTTTTTCCATTTTTCATGTAACCCGGTATCGATTATAAAAGACTGGGTAAAGTTTTGAGATCATACTAAGTAAGGTTTGTAGTATACAATGGCATATGTTGGGAGGAGCTGAGGGGGGTTGCACTTTTGAAGTATTTTTTTCGCTTTCTATGTGCAGAAAAATCCAGTTAAGACATATTTAAGACTACTATGTGCCTACTTTATAATGACCAAGTTGGAGGTCCGTAGAAATCTTTCTCGCAAAAATCAATTTTTAAGTGAGAAAATTTTTTTTGATTTTTGGCTTCAAATTCTACGTGGAAGGCGAATCTTTTATAGTCACTTTGCAGAGCTTAATCTGTTCTATCGAATGATGTCCTAGGTTTACTAAAAAAAACAGCTTGAGTTATTCAAAAAGTTTACTTTTGAGACAACCATCGCATGCCGAACCTTTCTACCGCAATCTTACAGTAATGAACAGCGACATAAGTTGAAGCCAATTTAACAGAATGATTTTAAAGATGGGA